TGTGTGTGTGGTTTTGTTTTTTTAATCAGGGCGAGCCATGGGATAGATATAAATGAGAAACAAAGAGAGAGCAACTTCCTAATCACAATATAGACCCACCTCAAAACATATCCTTTCACTGAATGTTTTTCCTACATAAAGAAATTGGTTGATTTTGATCCAGCTTCATCCTCATTTCTGACTCTAATGTGGACCATAATTTACAAAATGAACATTGTTAAATTCAGTAAAGTTAAAACCAGCAATGACATCAGTTGTACACCCACCTCAAATGTCACAGTCTAAAGCCAAGCCATCTTGTTTTTCTATAAACAATCACTGAGCATCACTGTCTTAGAATATATTTTAGTTTCAGTAGTAAAACCAGTTGAATGTCAGTGATGTAGAGTAGCAGAAGCCAGCATTGGAACCCTGAAGGTTTAAGCTGTTTTGGGTTAAATTACCAGCGAAAACTTCAAAAAGTGCATTTGGGTAAACTTTAAGGACCATATCACCATGTGCGATGGAGTGGCTGATCAAAAGAAGTTATAGCATATGAAAGGTCCCTCATTTATCTTTTGATAGACTCATCTGCAGCTTTTTTCCATAATCATCATGTAGTTTAAAGCATGTTACACCTTAACTGGATCTTCTGTAGCAGATGAGATGTTTTTTGAGGTTACCACTAACATAAATCCTTTGAAGTCCCAAATATTGTCATAGTGATCGGTGTTCAACCTTGTATGTAGGACATGCTCCTATGCCAGTTGGCGTTCTATCATGTTTTACAGTTGTGAGAAGCTGCTTAGCCACACAGTCTGTTACAAATTAAGCCTTCACACTGTTTAGCTTGAAGCTATCAGTTCTTATCAGCTGCACATGTTAATGTTCTATCAATACTATTGAACAAGTAAGAGCCTTTCCCATTCAACAGTCAGACACTGGTTCAAATAAAACTGTTAAGTAAGTGTTTCTAAATAATTCAAACTAAGCAGTAAGTTGTCTGTCTGGATATTTAAACCCAGTAGCTTGTTAATAAATGCAAAGGCTATGTTAAATTAGGTAATGTATCCTACACTGTTGTCATTAGCTCAAAGGATCTTTAAGTCTCCTAGTGATCTAGGTGGAAGGAAACTTTTGTTCCTTTTTGTAGGTGAACCTGTCGCTCAGCAGTTGGGTGTTGGCTGTAGCTCTCTGCTGCTTGCTCTTTCTCTTAAATTTAATGTAGACAACTAAGACATAAATGTATATTTAAGGAAAGACCAAATGAGTCGCGAGTTCAGAATATTTCCTTCAGGAGAGATGTGTAAGCCATGTCATGCCCAAAGATTAGCAACACAAATACCAATGCCTTTGACAAAAGGAGGCATTGAGTGCCTTCAAATCTGTCATCTCTCTGTAATTTGTAGTCGACAGACAGAGTTGGCCTTCAGAAATGTCGGGGTGGAGCTCAAAGTCTTCACATCGTGCTGGATGTGTTTCATGTTGAAACATTTTGTCCGTCTTGCCACACAGTCTTGTTTGTGTCCGAGTTTTAGGTGGTTGTAACTCTGAAGAGAGATTGTTTACTGATCAACTGAAAGAGTGAGCTATAATCTGTTGTTCGTGACTGCAAAGATTAAAAAAAAAAAAAAAAAAAAAAAAAAGTCACACTGCAGTGTAGGGCTGGGCGATATGACCCAAAATTCATATCTCGATATTTTTTAGCTGGATGGCGATATAAGATATATATCTCGATATATTTTTTTAAAGTCATAAAGTAAGAACAAAAAGAGAGTTCTTAGTCAAAGCTGTGTCCCAGATGTCACACAGGCACTTTTATTAACATAGAGCAGATGTACATAAAATTTACTCAAAAATAAATTATGAGCATTTATTAAATAATAATGCTCCATAAATAAAAGAAAACAATGTTGTTTTTGTGCATAACAAAAAGCTCACAATTGTGCAGTCAAAATGTAAACTAAAAGACGTTGAGCACAATAACAAAGACAGATTTCACAGCTGCTCTGTTCCCAACTTGTACTGCGTGACTGACAGCCTGGAGTTTGAAATCCGCTTCGCAACCGCGTCTCTTAACAGGTGCCATTTATAGTCCTTATACACAGTAAGGTAATATTACGTTGATGCACAGTACGTATCACTCCGCGAGGCTCAGCCGTAATGCTCCGACAATCCATCAAGCGGTGCAGCTCCGTAGCTTACTAAAGTCGTACTAAAACATTTTTTGACAGATTGCTGAGCGCCGTGTTCCACATAAAATCGGTTCGCGGCCATCAAGCACAACCAGAATTCATACATAAGGCGCGCTGTCAACTTTTGAGAAAATGAAAGGATTTTAGTCCGTGCAGCCCCTCTGGGCTGCATGGCGTTAGCGTGGTTAGCTCGTTAGCGTGGTTAGCTAGCTAACACGTTGACGCCGTCCAGCCCCACGCACGGGGCGATGCGCAGTAACTCGTTAACGGAGATTTGCCGTGTCCATCTTGTCGCTTCCTGCAGGTGAAGCGATGGGGGACGAGGAGTTGTGTTCAGTGAAGGAGAGGCGAGGCCGAGTAACATTGCGTAAAGACGAAAGTGGACGAAAGACAGGCAAACCTGCGGCTCCACAAGTATAATTATAACGTAACATAGACTATATCGATATAAAGGATATTGTCACATCTTATATCTCGTATAAAAATATATCGATATTTTTTAAAAACTCGATATATCGCCCAGCTGTACTGCAGTGCACTTTTTCTGCTAATGTCATATTTTGTTTTTGGTTTGTTTGTTTGTTTTTTACAGAAATCAGAATCAGAAATGCTTGATTAATGCCGTAGGAAATACATGTTCTTATTTTTAACTGAGAAACTTGCTTTAAGTCGGTCAGTATTTCCGATATAATAGGAAGTGGTTATTTTGTGGTTCCCGTGCTCTCTGACCCACTGCACAACAGCAAACATGCATACATGCACCTTTCATATCAAAACTTGTCTTACATAAGTGTTAAATGACCTTTCTTTTTCTTGGGTCACATGAATAGACTTTGGTCCCTTGCCTATTATCCTAACACTATCCAAACAGACTATTTTGAGTCACAACGATTGGATTTCCTTTAAACAGACTATTTCCTTAGTGTTATCTTACTGTGAGTAAAACACTGAAAATTGGTTTGTGAGTTTGAGGATTGGGCAGACAGTCAAGAAGTGTGTCGCTGGAGATTTGATAACGGCACAGATTCAGGAGGCGGTATGAAACAGCCTCACCAAATATGGGAATGTACATGCATGTGGACACCCTTAACTCTTTTTTTTTTTTCTGGTATGGGTGGAGTTTTCTGATATACATTTTATTTATTTTAAACCAAAATGACAAAACTAATAAACAGACGAGAAGAAATAAAACTAAGTTGCGCTCAACAGTTTGATTTTACTCCAGGGGTTGAATTCTTAAAATCTGTCACTAAATTGTTAAGGAGACTAGTTAGAGTGCAGTAGGATTCTCTGCACATCATGTTTCTTTGTTCATCTTTATAAATGCACATTCACACCTTTTCTTGATCTCATGATGTTAACTACAAGCTTTTTTTTTTTCTTTTTAAATACTTCTCAATGAATACTAATGTTTATTTAGTGTCTTATAGTTTCTATATCTTGTGTATATACAGTTGTTTAATTTAAATTGGGACGAGTTACATATTTCACACTAGCTAATATAGTTTGCTAATCTGATGCCTGGGTTCACAGTATGAGTATGAGGTACTAAACTTAAAGAAAATCTTGATCATCTCAGTTCTGCTTTTTTTTTCCCCCCCACTTTTGCTGTGTGGTTAGTACACAGTGTGGTAGAAAGGCATCTGTTTAATCAACCACAAGTTATTCCTTCCTAGTTTACATTCTCTGGTATGGGCAGCTTGAAATTTCGTCATGCCTGCTAGAGTCATTACATGTTTTCTGTTTAAGTCATTATGAGATACTTGGACAGTAAAGCCTAAGAGAACACTTCAGTCTTGTTCTATCTTCCTACTTTTGTCGAATTTCATTAGTAAGCCTGAGTTGGCCTAAAAGCATCCAAACACTGTCCGCCTGATACAGTCAGGAAGTTGATCCATGGAAGTGATGATGAGCTGGCAGCTGAGGCCAGCTGAGTGTGGGTGAATCAGCTTTCCTTATTTAGGATTTTCAAAATGGGAATGGCTCCTCCCTGCTGCTGCTTTCATCTCATGGTAAAGACAGAAGCTCAACAACATATGATGGGATAGACATTAAAAGACTGTCATGATCAAGACTTAAAGCCTGTTAATTCTTTGGCAAGTGTTTTAGACATTTGATCCCCAGATGTCCGTGAGTTTGCAAGTTTGTGTTGTAATATTTACTCCAAATTTTTCAAACTAATAAAGCTGAACTAAAAATGACATTTTATTAAACAATAAAGTGTCAACTTAAATTAGCTAATTTAGGTTTAACTAAGTGCAATGCTGTAGTGCCATAGAAGCTAATGTATAGAATAGAATTCAACTTTATTGTCATTGCACATGCACAGGTACAGGGCAATGAAATGCAGTTTGCATCCATCCACAAGTGCTTTAGTGATATAGATATATTACAATATATATTAGCAATAATATAGATATGTAAGTATATTACAGAAATGGGTCTATTATGGTATGTTATAATGTACACGGTATGAAGTATGTTGTGAATATTCTATAACTATAAGTATGTACAGCTGTGATGAAATTAAATCTGAAACCTGGTATGTTTTTTAAAAAGAAACCCATCTTCCTGTATTTTAGGCCACACAAGTTTCAGATCTCACTGAGTTTGAATGTCTTTAAAGTTTTTTTTCTGTGCCACATTCAACCTCCACAACCACAACAGCACATGCCAGCACCTTCCTCTTTCTCTTTGCTCTCTTAGAATTTAGTATGTTTGTAAAGCCATTTCAGCATGTGCAGCTGTTGTAAAAATGTGTCCAATGTAGATGTTTTAATGTCATCTATCAGTGACCTGTTTTGTTTTCTCTGTTTTATTTTGCAGATGGACCTGAGCTTACTTTTAATAGCAGCATTATCAGCAGCCCTCAGTGGCAGCTTGGCACAGCAAGGTAGGAAGTTAAAGTTCCCGTTTTGCTCCTTTTCTTATCTTAACTATTAATTATAATCTAACCTACTGCACAAGGTATTTTCATCCCTTTGCAGTACAGCCACAAGAGCACTAATTTACTAATATTTATTTTTTCATCCTAAGAATGTGGAACTGTTTCTCTCAGGAACCTGTTTCAGGGAACTAAACGGGTCAAAGTCTGCTGATGTAGCAACAGCCTTTTTAAAAAAAAAATGTTTTTACATGCAGCAAAACCGAGATACAAGGCCACATGTAGGCTTTTGCAATCTTTTAAAAAACACAAGCACTCACGCAATATAACAAGCAGAGTGAAGCCTGTTATATTTTCCACGAGTATGTGAGGGGTTTGCTTAGGCCTGCGTGACATAAATTTCATAATTACAAAGTGTGAACATGAGGCACTGTTTGCAGACTCCTCTTCAGAGACGTTATCGTCACATGCATTGACAATATAAAAGATGGGCCTAGCCACAGAGATGTCACCCATCAGTTTCTGATGTCCAATGTTTTGGTGATTTGAACCTAAAGGTGACGAGTAGGAGGCGAATCTGACCTGGCATGCACACCACTTAGCTAAGACCCTGAATAGTCTTTGTTTCTGACATTTAGAATGACATAAAATACGCAAAATGGATTTAATGTTTTTGACTTAATAGATTTCCGTAGGATATGGTATTTTTTGGAAGCCACAAAAGTCACCCCTGCTGGGACGTATGCATTGGTTTAGCCTTCCTCACGGTGTGCTGTTGATGATTTATTCCATTTGCTCAGTTAAGTAACTGAGTATCAAAATATACATATTTGGTAGAAGGCAAATTTCCTGGCTTGGTAGTGTGCACATAAGGAAGGTGTTAAGTGTGCATGTGGTCTTTTTTCATAACAGTCTTCTGTATTATGACTGACTTCCTGTCCTCCTCATGGAGCATCTCTGTATTAGGTGTGTAGAGTTTAACTACTGCAAAACCACTCCCACTGGCACAGAATCTCTTTCCACTTGATCACTGCCTCATTGATCTATATCTGATTTTTATTTTTGACTCTTCCTTTGTTTCTGCTATTCTTGATCTGACATCTGACTGGGTTTTAAAAAATAGTGGTCCTTTCTTAAACAATTAGCTTCAAGCACAGAAGTACTAGCCTATGAGTATGTACTTCTTTTTTCCATGAAAACTGCCCTGTAAGAAGTCTTACAGAGGTCAGTAAAGTACACAGACCACCCAAGAACCACCAAATAGTTCCTGAAGTAGAAATGATTTATTGTTACACTTTCTTTTTCTTTCTTTTCTTTTGCTCTTGACACACATTATGAATGATAGTGATAGAAAAGTTTTCACACTGGCTTGTTCTCATGCTTTTTCCCCTTTCAAATCTTCATTCATGGTTTTATGACTGTTAGTCCTTTTGGCCAACAGTTGGAGTTTTTTGTTTTATGGAGTTAGGTCATTACTTGGTGAGTTGTCTGGAGCTTTTCCCAGCATGACTCAGTTTTCTGGTCTGGGAGGGGGGAAGGGAGGAGGAGGGAGGGGGGGTGCTTTCCAGCCAAAAGCTGCTTTGAGTTAGTGAGCTAATGGAAAAGATTGTATCATCTTGGCTAAAAGGAACTTGTGTCATCTCTTTCAGATGGAAGCATATGCATCAAGGCAAACGCGCAGTCATGTGGGGAATGCATCCAGGTCTCTGAGATCTGTGGATGGTGCACAGATGAAGTGAGTTGGATCAGCAAAGCTGTGTCAAAGCTGTTTTATCACATGAGTGAAAAAATATCAGAGAGCTCTTTATCAGTGAGGAAAGTTTCAGTTTCCTTGAGCTGCACAAAAAATGATAAACTGTAATATCTGTCATTGTCACCATTATTAAATAGGAGTACAAGACTGGAGTCATTCTGCAATTCAAAACAAATGAAATAGTTCAAGTGACAAAATGCAATAAAATCCATTTAATTAAATTAACTTTCACCTTTGTTTATATGAATGCGTGCATGTAATCTGTACTCATCCTGTAAGCAGTATAAGTACTCAGGAGTTAAGCGATTAGAGACTTTTTGTTTTTCACCCAATGGCAAGTAAACCACAGTTGGTCCATTAATTGTAAACAGCAGTGCTGCTCCTGCTGCTGCTTCTTCACTGGAAACTTGGTCAGGATGAAGCTGCTTAATTAGATGTTTAGTGTACCTAAGGCGGATTTTCTTGCTGTGGTTGAAATACAAACAGACCACAGTATGAGGGAAAAGACCAAAAACATGCAGTTGGAATTAAACATTCATGCACAGTAACAAACAAATGTAAATGAAGTTCTTTTTATGCTGTGTCAGTGACGTTAACACAAGCAAGTAGAATTTTTGTTTACATTTATACTTCGATTGTAACTAAAAATGGATTTATAATCCAGCGTATATTTAAGTTGGTACACTAGACACAGAGTGGGGCATCAGGAGCTGTTCTCTCTGCCCCTCAGTGGCACAGAGGCCAATCTTTAACCTGCTAGTTCCCTAGTATAAAGTCTCAGTGGTATTAGAGTGGGCGGGCATTTCCTGTCTTCTGCATGCTCTGTCCAAGCAGCTCCCTCGCCTTATCAGAGGATACAGAGCATTTCCATTATTTCAAATACCTCTGAAGCAGACTATTTCCTGCTTTGCGCTACTTGTGGATAACCGTGGAAAACATACTGACCTGATTCTCTTAAAACCACATTACATTTATGTATGAACATGGCTGTAGATTCCACTTCTACTGTCACCTGACTTCAGTGTATGGTTATAACCATGTTTAGGTGAGAGACTCTTAAAATAAGTGAATTTATCTGAAATGAAACAGGGGGGGGAAACACTGACTGATACCCGTGAGGCAAGATTCACATGTATGTGTTTAAGGGCTCATGTTCACTTTAAGCAAGGTTGTGGGAACACAGATCAACAAATTCCTACACCTGGTTAGCCTTGGATGTATGCATATGTATATGAAACATTTTACATTTCTGTACATGTTCGTTGCAAAAAGAGAGAAACTAAAGGCAAAAAGAGCTAGATTGAACTGGGTTACAGTTTAACCACCCAGGAAACACAGACAGGCTTTAACCTGCACCACATTTCAAACAACAGAAGAAGCACAACCCTTAAACTGTCCAGTTTTGTTCTGCACAGAATAAAAACACTGAAACAGGGAAAAAAATTTAATTGATTAGATGGAAAGGCTGAGTTTTATTGGAGAGGAGGGCCAACTATAGGAAAACGGGTTTATAGTTAAGGTGAGCCTTTTAGTAAACTGTTGAAACCATGTCAGGGTTAAATGCTTTTTGTTCTCGTCATGTGCCAAGACAACTGCATTCCTGTTAAATCATGTCTGCTGCTCTCTATCAGCCTGCTGATATCCACCCCTGAGCTTATGAAACCAGGCCTCGACTTCAGTTTGTAGTTGAGTGAAGTCGTTTGGAGCACCTAAAGAGATCTCTCTTTAGAAGAAACGCTCTCTCGCAAAGTAGCTCTGCTTTAGAACTCATCAGATTATGTGCAGCTAGATGCAGGCAAAAAGAAAGGGGTGTTTTTATGTCATGAGGTTTTGGAAATAACTGAGTCAAAGCACTGTTTTCGTTTTGACTGGGTTCATTGTCTCGGCTTCTCCTCGACTGCTCCTTGTGGTGTCTCATGTGCATCCAATCTATATTCTCTGTTAGGCCTGTCAATCATCTGTTTCTCCTTTTCTCTCCTTTCCACGAGTAACAGTGAATGGTAAATGGTAAATGGCCTGTATTTATATAGCGCTTTACTAGTCCCTAAGGGCCCCAAAGCGCTTTACATATCCAGTCATCCACCCATTCACACACACATTCACACACTGGTGATGGCAAGCTACATTGTAGCCACAGCCACCCTGGGGCGCACTGACAGAGGCGAGGCTGCCGGACACTGGCGCCACCGGGCCCTCTGACCACCACCAGTAGGCAACGGGTGAAGTGTCTTGCCCAAGGACACAACAACCGACACTGTCCAAGCCAGGGCTCGAACCGGCAACCTTCCGATTACAAGGCGAACTCCCAACTCTTGAGCCACGATCGCCCCCGAAGCCACGAAAGTGAAAGTAACAGTGAAGCCTTATCTTATGTTTCGTTGCATACTTTGTCATTTCAACATTCATGAGATTTGTATCTGCAGCACTCGTGCTCCAAAGATTAGTCTGTTTATTAGTTAAAATAACCAAACAATTTTGTTTCACTAAATGAGTCTTTAACCTTTTATACTTGTAAAGTGACACATTTAAATCAGTGTCATTAAAAACACTGACATTGAGGCTCCAGAATATAAGGTGCTCCATGGTGGATTGAAGCCTGGTAGAAAAATGAAAGCCACTAAGCTTAATTTTGGAAAATTAGATTTTAAACTTGAAAATACATTGTTCGTCTTCAAAGATCAAATTACTTAATTTTGGTAGGCTAATAAGATGCATAAATTAAGGAAGTAGCTTTGTCGAGAAAAAAAAATTAAACAAATTCAGTGAAAGGGGAAAAAAAGGGAAATCCTTAATTTGAAGGGTCTGAAATGGTAAAAGCTGTGAGCAAGGGTGTGACATGTAGCCTCAAAACTATATAAATAAAACGCTAATGTGGACGTGGAGTGTTTTTAGACGAAAGCACAGTTTTCAAATTTACCTGGATCAGTGTAGATGTAGAGCCATAGGAATCCCCCAGCAGCCTACACCTATTGCAGCATAACTAAGGGAGCATTTAGATTCACCTGATCCAGCCCTAACTATATGCTTTAGCAAATAGGAAAGTTTTAAGCCTAATCTTAAAAGTAGAGATAGTGTCTGTCTCCCGAATCCAAACTGGAAGCTGGTTCCACAGAAGTGGGGCCTGAAAACTGAAGGCTCTGCCTCTCGTTCTACTTTTAAATACTCTAGGAACAACAAGTAGGCCTGCAGTCCGAGAGCGAAATTCTCTAATGGGGTGATATGGTACTATAAGGTCATTAATATAAGATGGGATCTGACTATTCACGACCTTCTTTGTGAGGACCAGGATTTTTGAATTCAAAATCCTGGTCTTCTGCCACATACAAGGATGTATTGTTATTCATTCTTTCACTGATTAGGTTATTGCGGCAGCGTGGTTTTCCTTTCACAATACAACCCAAAAGGAAAACACAAACAATTTGAAGAAAATTATCCCGGTCTGTGGTGGGAAAGTCATTTGGAGTAATTCTCTAATGGTCTTTTCTTCTTTTTGCAGAAGTTCCTCTCAGAGGGCGAGTCCAAATCAGCTCGCTGTGATGATGTGACCTACCTGAAGAAGAAAGACTGCAAAAATATTGAGGACCCCCGCGGCAGCACTGAAATTACCCAGAACAAAGATGTCACCGTTCGCAACAAGGATGGGAACGTAAAACTCAAGCCTGAGGAGATCACACAGATACAGCCTCAGAAACTCAAAGTGACGCTCAGATCTGGTAAGCAGGCGTATGCTGATGCTATGTTCCTGACTATGTTTACATTTATTAGCTAGCTGTTCAGCATCGATTTCAGTGTTTTCACCGACGCCATCTTGGTATTTTGAAACCAGATGTGATGAGTGATGGCGGGCCTGACTGTGAAACCAAGGACACAGCAAACTCATGGGCTAACATTTGTGATTAGCAAGTCAATAGCCAGTGAACGTTCCCTGGATGATAGTAGTGGCCATAAGCTACTGCATGATGCTTTTCTTCTGTCATTTAATGGTCGGGCATTGTACAGCTACAAGCATTTCACCCCCATGTCATACTGTGTATGGTTGTGTGTGTGTGTGACAAATAAAATTTGAATTTGAATTTGAATTTGATTAATGTGGCAAAATGTTATGCCAGATGCCCTTCTTAATGCATCGTCAGGGGATTTGTGTGCTTCTGGGATCAAACTTGAGATCTTTTGCTTCTTAGGCAAATGCATAAATCACTGTATTATGAAGGCTCAGGTCTAGAAACTAGCGACTGAGCCCAAAGTTTGCTGAGGTCACAAAGCTAGAAGTCACCTTGAAGTCTTTTTTTAACCAGAGGAATATAGATGTGAATATACATAACTTTCCCTAGGGATCAATAAAGTATTCTGATATCCTGGTTGAATTTCTTTTACTCGTCACAGTTAAAACAGCTGTGTAAATACCCTAACGTAATTAGAGATTGTGTTATGTTAAAAAGGCTTTCAATATAGCCTGAACTTTTGATGCTTTGGCAGTTTGCTGAAACTGTTGTCAGGTCAAAACAAAAGCAAATTTTTATTTGGAGTAAATATGTTGATGGTTCATAGTTGGTGTAATGTCAAAGCAGTTTAGATTTAGAAGCCGTTATATTTGTGTCAGTCTCACCTTTAGCCACTTTAAAGCCAGTGGACTGGAAAAGATAAGAAATTTATAAGAATTATTTTAATAATTTTATCAGTTTGAAGAAGCTGGCATGATGCAAACTTAAATTTCCAAAGATGGTAAAATGAATTTGAGACCACCCCCCTTAAATTATCTTTAGTTTCCAACCCTTTTGTATTTAAGTGTAACTCTGGTTTTCCAGTAAAAACAGGAAACTTGTCGTTAGTCTAATAACTAACAATGCTCTGCTTTTGCCTTTAAGGTGAGCCACAGACTTTTGACCTGAAATTCAAGCGTGCTGAGGATTACCCCATCGACTTATATTACCTCATGGACCTCTCGTTCTCCATGAAAGATGATTTGGAAAATGTGAAGAACCTTGGCACTGACCTCATGAGGGAAATGCGGGAGATCACGTCAGACTTCAGGATAGGTACGGTTAAAAACATGAAACCCAATAAATGTCCTTCAAAACAGCAGAAAACCCTCAGCCTTCCAAATGAGTTTATAATCCCAAGTTAAGAAATGCTCTCCTTTTTTGTTTCGCCTTAAGGTTTTGGCTCCTTTGTGGAGAAAACGGTCATGCCTTACATCAGCACCACACCTGCCAGGCTAATCAACCCCTGTTCCAACAACGAGAACTGTACGAGCCCCTTCAGCTACAAGAACGTCCTGAAGCTCACCAGCAACGGAGACAGGTTTAACCAGCTGGTCAGTCAGCAGCAGATCTCAGGAAACCTGGACTCTCCAGAGGGGGGGTTTGATGCCATCATGCAGGTGGCAGTCTGTGAGGTGAGCGTTTAATTAATTAAGCTTGTTTTTTTTTTTTTTGTGTGTGTGTTTTTTTTTTTTTTTGTTTGTTTTTTCTATTCTTCTGTGCCTGCAAAATGCATAGAATACAAATAAGTATAAATAAGATAAATAAGGATATCTTCTTGTTTTGATCCCAGGAGCAAATTGGCTGGAGGAACGTGACTCGTCTGCTGGTGTTTTCCACTGATGCTGGTTTCCACTTCGCTGGAGACGGCAAGCTGGGCGGCATTGTCCTCCCCAACGATGGGAAGTGTCACCTGGAAAACAACGTGTACAGTATGAGCCACTACTACGTATGTACCATCATGTCTTTAACACTAACAGTAAATCCAGGGAGAGCTGACTGAGAATGAGAGCTGTTATATGTTCACCTTTTTTAATAATGGTCTCAGTTTTATCGTCTGTTCATTAATTGTATCTTCACATGACCCATATTCTTTGTTAAGTTTGTTTTGTATGTTTAACAGGATTATCCCTCTATTGCTCACCTGGTCCAGAAGTTGAGTGATCACAACATTCAGACCATCTTTGCTGTAACTGAGGAATTTCAGCCTGTTTACCAGGTAACCTTTGTACATTGTGTTTGAAGACTCTTCTTTTTCTTTTTTATACAAGCAGAACCCACACTGGGAAGGTCAAAAAACCCTGTATTGTTATGTATATATGTCTATCAATATTTATTGTTTTATTATATAATGTTTTTTGGCTCAGAATGGGTGTTGGGTGGTTGATTGGTCCATTGGTCCATCGCCTCTGTCAGTGCACCCTAGGGCGGCTGTGGCTACAATGTAGCTTACCGTCACCAGTGTCTGAATGTGTGTGTGTGTGTGTGTGTGTGTGTGTGTGTGTGTGTGTGTGTGTGTGAATGGGTGGATGACTGAACGTGTAAAGCGCTTTGGGGTCCTTAGGGACTAGAAAAATGCTACACAAACACAGGCCATTTACCATTAGACATGAAATCTATTATCTTATTTTTAAAAAAAAATTACATTATATTTCAGAAAATTATACCTCAGTTAACAAAACAAGGTCAAAAAACCAATCACAACGCTGGTGATTTTCCTTTCTGCTTTCAAAGAATTTCTCATTGCAGGAAAATGTAATAACTTTCCAGCACTGTATTTCACAATTTAGTTAGGAATATCATCCAACCGATAGATCAGCTCCAATTTTTTTTTATGTAATTCACAGGATATGATTCATGTATGTTAATTCTTTCTTTTGACTCTCGTTTCTCTTACAGGAGTTGAAAAATCTTATTCCCAAATCAGCTGTCGGCACGCTTTCCTCCAACTCCAGTAATGTCATCAAACTCATCATTGATGCCTACAATGTAAGTTGAACTGCACAATCATCACGTGATCTTAGACTCTCCCCTGATGATCGGGGATTGATTTAGCATTGAGTTATTTCTCATGTATACATAGCCAGGCATTTGTCATCTTCATCTGAGCACGTGAAGATTACAGGTAACGAAATGTAACATAAACGTAAGAGGTCACATCCAGAGAAATTCAACGCAAATAATCAGCCAAATTTGAGGAACTGATAACTGGTGCTTTCCTCTTCACCTGTGTGCATGAATACTTTCTCTCTTCCATCATAAACAAACCCAAGTGACAGCTATGCCTTAGCTGTGCCACTCCCAAAAATACATCTTAATTATAAGGAATTAATTATTACTTAAGTTAGTTATAAGCTGCTACTCATCTGTAGAGAGACAAAGTTTAATAAATGTTTGATTCTTATCTTTTTCTTTTTTGCAGTCTTTGTCATCTGAGGTGATTCTGGAGAACAGCAAGCTGCCCGAGGGCGTTTCTATCTCGTACAAAGCCTTCTGTAAAAACGGTGTGCGAGGAACAGAGGACAACGGCAGGAAGTGCACTAACATCTCCATTGGCGACGAGGTAATAGGATCCAGGCTTGGTTTCCATGTGCTGACGAGTGTAAAACAAGCAAACCAAAAATTATATCTGAGAAAAAGAAAGGGTTTAGATACTCTGGGGAAAATGTATTGAGTCAAATACATTTATTTGATGATCTGAAACATTTAAATGTGACAATCATACAAAAAGAAAAACAGTTACCTTGATGGCATCCTCCTCATACGGTGTGATTCTCTCTGGTTTCCAGGTGTCTTTTAAGATCTCTATTGAATCTCAGAAGTGTCCTTCAGGTGGCAAGCCTGAGGTCATTACAGTGAAACCGCTGGGCTTCAATGAGGAGGTGGCGATAGAGCTCAATTTCATCTGTGACTGTGAATGTGCCAAAAAGGGAGAGCCCAACAGTCCGAAGTGCCACGGGGGAAACGGGATTTTTGAATGTGGAGCCTGCAAGTAAGTATTGATGTGCATTGATGCAGAGAGATGTAGAGCTGCTGAGCCATGTATGATGGAGCATAAGGATGTGTGGGTCTGTAATTTCAAAATATTCCTCAACATATTTAAGTAATTTGATTAAAAGCTGGATTTATGATTTCAGTGGCATACTTTAATCATCCACCTAAATAGTCAAGAGACTTATTGCTGCTTGTAATGTGACACTAAAACTTGAATAATTAAACTTTTGTTGTTCTGTGGCAGATGTAACGAAGGACGTATTGGGCGTGAATGTGAGTGCAGCAAAGACGAAGTCCGGTCAGACGACCTGGATGCTAACTGCAGAAAACCCAACAGTACAGATATCTGTAGCAACAATGGCGAGTGCCTCTGTGGCACCTGCGAATGTAAGAAGCGGGAGAATCCTGCAGAAGTCTACAGTGGCAAGTACTGTGAGTGCGACAACTTCAACTGCGACCGCTCTGGCAATTTGCTCTGCGGAGGTAAGGGTTACAGAAGTAAACTCATTTGAAAGTATGATTGATTTAACTCCACACTGAATGTGTTTGATGCCTGTGCTCCATTAGGACATGGACGCTGCGAATGCAGGAAGTGCATCTGTGACACCAACTACACAGGCAATGCCTGTGAATGTTCCCTGGATGAATCCACCTGCCTTGCCAAGAACGGGCAGCTCTGTAATGGCCGCGGCAAATGCGAGTGTGGAATCTGCAAATGCGAAGACCCCAAATTCCAGGGTCCGACATGTGAGGTCTGTCCGACCTGCCCCGGTGTCTGCACTGAGCACAAGTGAGTGTGAAGCTTTCATCTTTGGTTGGAGAAACAACATATAGAAATCTAAAAATGTAAAGTCTGTTTTAACATGTAAGCTTAGAAGTTGTATGCCAAACTGAGTCATGTGATTTATGATTAAATTCTAGTTAAAAGCCAAAAGATTTATCTTTGATTTTTAACTAGAATTTCATAACAAATCATCTCAGAGACTATAATAATTCATAGTCATTAAAACTTATTTGATACACATTACAAAACAATTCAAGGAACACTTAAAAAAAACACATCAGGCAGTTTGCAGGATGCCAACAAGGTTCTGCCTGGGTCCTTGTCACTGGGAGCCTTTGGGTGTGGAGTTTCATGTTTTCCCAGTAATTTCATGAAATCTTCCAGGTGCCTGCGTTTCCTCCCAGAGACGTGCTTGTGATTCTAAATTAGATGATGTGCTTGCAGTGCATAGAATAAGCCTATGACAAATGACAAAACAAACTCTGTGGAAGAAATGCTGTTGGTTTTAGTTCATGTCTTTAGTTTTAGACTTTGTCAATAGAGAGGCCTTTATGTTTAAGCGGGGGATGTCTGTATGACTGAGGCTCTCACAAAATAAATGCCTTTAATTCCTGTTCTGAACTGACACTAAACATTTTCAACAGTAAAAACTAAAATGAACAAACTCACTGTGGAAATTAACCCAAAGTACAATAAATCAAAAACAAAATGTAAAACTAAGAGTTAAAATTAAGAGTTCTCACTGTATTAAAATGATCACATCATCCTTTATCTAAACAGTTAGATTTTCACTCGTTTTTTTCATGTGTGGCAGTTCAGACCTGACGACTGTTTTCCAGCATGGCGGTTATAATGTCTGGCGTCTCGAATATAAAACACTGTGGTGAGTAAACCACGCTGTGCTTCCACAGAGATTGTGTGCAGTGCAGAGCGTTTGGGGATGGCGAGAAGAAGGAGATGTGCCAAAAGGAGTGCAGCTACTTCAACCTAATAAAGGTGAAGGACCGAAAAGATCTACCTCAGCCCACAGACCAGAGCTTCCCCCTGACCCACTGCAAAGAGAAGGATGCAAACGACTGCTGGTTCTACTACACCTACGCCATCACCAAGAATTCCACCAAGGAAGTCTTTGTGGTAGAGAAACTGGGTACGGTCACACTGAGCTGATTTTGTCTGATCATCCTTTTACTTGCTTTCTGTTTATTGTTACAAAAGCAGATGCAATAGACAGTTTAATAGATGAGATGGCAAATCTTCCCTACTTTTAAGAAATCAAGAAAATAGCCATTAATATCAATGATTACTTATTTTCTGTTTATGATAATTACATTTTTGTTCTTTATATGAGCAACCGTTTTCATTGGGTGTCTTTGCTTTCCTTTTCCGTTAGACTGCCCGTCAGGACCTGACATCATCCCCATCGTGGCAGGTGTGGTAGCGGGCATTGTGCTCATCGGCCTCGCACTGCTGCTCATCTGGAAGCTGCTCATGATCATCCACGACCGCCGAGAGTTCGCCAAGTTTGAGAAGGAGAAGATGAATGCCAAATGGGACACGGTGAGTAGTAGAACCGCATTATCCACAGCACTAAATGACAGAGCCGTTCACTCGGGTTTATGCTTTAAAAAAATTTACCATGCTGAAAGAGCTAGTTATTTAAGCCATTGTGTCACAGTCCGCAGGTTAAATTTGGTATAGAAGGAGGCTGCTTGTTTTAGATGGTGAGAGTGTTATAAGATACGGGTCATTTTAGACTGAGACTTATGCAGAGCTACTCCAGTAGAGCTAGAAGATTCAGTAAAATGAGTCCACTTTAAACTGTAAGTGTTAAACAAAAAGATGAGTGTAACTTTACAGATTTTTCCAGGATTGTGCATGTGACAAAGCTCTCTAGGCAAAAATGTGAGGTAATCATGAGGATATGCCTCTCACTGTGTGGCCTGTACTCAGTCCTCAATGAACCCCAGCTCTATGCAGTTGTGTTGGTTCTCTATTCACTGAGGGCAGGGAGTGGCCTTTTCTCTGCTGCTGGTGCTGCCACTCGCCGTCCACATGCCACAACTGCATGACCATAAAAGGCAACGGAGCAGAGCGAGGAAGCCTGCAGAATGACCACTGATGGAAAGTTCAGCAGCAGCTGCTGCTCAGTGTGAGGCAGTTACAGCAGCAGTGTTTACGATTTGAAGGGAAAAAGCAGAACACAAATCACAGCCAGAGGACTTTAAATACTATTATTTACCATATTACAGACACACAGTAGATGGCTTTGAATTTCTTCTGATAAACATGTCATGAAGTGGACTATGTTACAGTCAGTTGGGTTTTTTTTTTTTGGTTTTTTTTTTAAATGGTATTCAAGTCTGTTCTTCCTAGTTTCAGCAAACCTTTTTAAAGAAAATTAGTTTTTTAAGATTTTATTTTATTATCAAATGTTTTGGCAACACAAGTGGAACCTATAAGGAAGAAGAATAAATATAAAAACAGTTTTAAAGAAAGTAGGAAACAAACTACTAAACAGAAACTGTGCAGCACTAATGACTGGTAGTAATAATTACAACGCTAATTAGTTACTATAATGTATTGCCTTCTTAGACTGTTTTCTATCCTTTCCAGTGCTTTTCCTGATTCTCTCCATTTCTTTCTTCAGTTTTTTCCATTCATCTTCCTTCTTTTTCTTGTTAGCAAGGGAACCCCATATACAAGAGTCCTATTAACCAGTTCCACAATCCCAGCTATGGGAATAAAGCCGCTGCCCTTTAGGTCAAAGTTTGTATTGCTCCTTCTTGCATGAGTGCAGCAATGAAATAAGTTTAGTGTCCGCATGTTGTGAATTTATATGCATGTCTAACCATAAATTTATATCCTGGAAACATTGGAAAGCAGATTTATTTTCACATTTGGTGATTAACGTGTATCTCTGTGGGAAAACTTTCTCCTATAAACATAAAAAAGCAGCTGCATCATCTACAAACAGGCAAAGCTTAAAACAGCACATGTGAAAACAAAAACCGGAACCTCTGCCCTGCTACAACACCCTGGACAGATCGCCGCTTTGTTGCAGAGCTAACATGAGAGGCAGAACCATTCATGCTCACTTTTTACATATACTGTCAATTAACCTAACTTCATGCATGCCTTTGTGTTGTGGGATGAAGCTGGAGTACCCCACACAGAGAACCCCAGAGCAGATTTTAACCCAGGATCTTCTTGCTGTGATGTGATGGTACTAACCACAGCCCTATGCTGCCCGACCCAAAGAAAAACCTCCAGGGAAAATGGAGTTTGGATTGTCAGCTGCTTTTAGGACAGATGAAAAAATAAACATAAAGCTGTCAGGAACTAGCTCAGAGTTCAAACAAGAGGGAAAGCACAGTTTAATTAAAAAAGGAGCACATTTTCTTCAATTAAATTAAACCTACTAAATAGTTTAAAAAGGATACTGTCAGTATTTTGAGTGTGTGGACCCGCTTGCTAGGGAAAAGAGAGGTTCAAGTATCAATTTGTAAGCAGCTGGCACACAAACATGAAAAGGTTATGCATGTTTTCCCTGTTCTTTTGAGTGCTGTGTCTCAGTGATGCATTTACTGTGTTTGCAACGGTTTACTCACTTTTCTTTCTCTTTTCTTTGCATTTCTCAGGGTGAGAATCCGATCTACAAAAGTGCCGTAACAACTGTCATCAATCCAAAGTACGAGGGCAAATGATGGAGCTTAGCCTACTTCGTGACAACACTGTATGGAAAAGAAAGCGGGAGGGGCGGGTTTTATAATGCTCACTGTTTTTGTTTGTCTGTTTGTTGTTGTAGCCACCAAATAATAGCATTGCATTTTGCGGCTCCGTTCTATTAACTTTTGATCTTCTATGCATCATCTGTAATTTGTACAGTATGTATAAACGTGTGGTTTTTACGTTTTGGTTTTGTTGAGAGAATTTTTTTTTGTTAAATAGAAGCCATCAGTGTTTCGATGAGCGGTTGAAATGAATGTTGATAATGGACAGTAAAGGAAGGGTTTCTTTCCAAATTAGCGTGCATGCATACAGTGCAGAGTAGGAGGCAATCAGTGTTTCAGAAACAGGCATACAAAAGTTTTACTGTGTCTTTAATCATTTTCAATGAGTGGGCGTCTCTTTGGATCGAGCCCTTCAGATGTAGTGCCGGGTTTGGCAGCAGCGGGGTGTGTACAGGAAGTGTTTTTTTTCTTTTCTTTTTGTTTTCCTGTGTTCTGTGTAAAGCCATACATGTATTCACAGAACAGAGCTGGGGGTGATGGTATGTTTGTTTTCAAAGTGACATAATCCGTCTGAACAATCATTTTTATTAAATGTGTCTTTGTGGAGAAAAGATTTTCTTGGGTTGCCTTACCTGATGAAGGGCAGCGGTGTACAGTAGTCTTACTGTTCAGCTCCAGGTTTTACTTGCTTAATTTAAAGCCAACTCAGGTCCTTTTATTCTTCTCAGCAATGCCAAATACACACAATTCTGCCTTATTTGCTGACTAAATTTGCTTATATTGTTTTTATTTGTACAATGTGAATGGGGGGCAAGTGTCCTGTTTTACATCTGAGTTACTACACTTAACTCTTTCAGAGGTGCCTCGATCAAACGTGCTTAATTAAAAAGAAATGGGGATGATGAAAAAAAGAGGATTGATAAGAGAACTTTTGGAAGGCTACGCCTGTCATCAACGTTTAAGTGCCTTTGTTGATTTCTCCATCACATTCACAATTGCGATTCTGTTTTCTGGAATTATTTATTGAATAAACCCCTAAAAAAAGAAAATGGACCCATATTGTTAAGTGTCATTGTGTATTTGCTGAAGATTTGATGCAGTGGAAACTTACATCATGACGTTAAAAATGACAAGATGACGCTCCAATGAGAAGTGTGGATGGTTTTGTTTACAGGCATAACAACAAGACTGTAGGTATAGTAGCGGGTAGTGTTCTTATTTTATTTGTTTACATTATGGAATTATCAAGCATTTAAATGTTTTATCCTGTTTAATTCAAAAATGATCGAAGTGCTATATAGTAATATAAGTTAAAGTAATACAATTAAAATGTATGCAGCATGCGTGATTAAACTGCCCTACTTTTACAGTAATGTAAGAGGAAAAATGGGGGGCACAGAAAATAAGAGAGATAAACATGTTTGACTTTTTTTTTTTTTTTTTTTTTTTTTTTTTTTTTTTTCTGCAGCAGGAGAGTTGCTGTTGCTTCATTTCATGATTTCTTTGAATACCATATCTGCCTCTGAATAGGTGTCTGGTATCAAAGAAGAAAAGGGAGAAAAATCCTTTGTTTTTTGTTTTTTGTTCTCTGTATTCAAAGATATTCTGAATGTATGAAAACAACTCTTAAAAAGAAACTCAAGAGACCTGTTGAAGTCATTGTTTATGTATTACAGACATTCCTTTACAAAAATTAAAAAAAAAATTCGTAAGAATCGCATAGCTCAAAATATATGAATGCATTAGCAAAATAGTTCAATAATTTAAAAAAAAGTAGGAAAAAAATGGATTCGAATAAAAGGAGTTCAGTGAGTAAAACTAAATAAATAAATCACTGATCAAATCAATTTAAAATGTAATAATCTAAAAACCTCAGTCATACAGAATAGAAATATTTTTTTGCTATTCTACGTTTAGCAGATCTTTCTTTTTTGTACATAGCTTTATTTGCTTTCATTTTATACTTTTATTTGTTTATTTTAGCATGTAAATCGGCTACAAGCTAACGCTCGTCGTGACGTCGCCAGCCAATCACGTTGCACTCCATCCCCGTGGAGCGTGACGCCTTGAGTCGGGTGCTCTCCACAGGTGATTGGTGGCCTCGGCGGGCCAATCAGATCGCGTCGTTTACAGCAAAGTTGTTAACCCCCAACAGTAGCACTTTGGTTTCCACCTCTCTAGTTTCAGCCAGCTTTACATCGACATGGACTTTTCAGCAGCCAAAATAAGCCGTTTTTTGGTAGATCTACACCGGACAATGGCTCTGCCTGCCCGGACACCGGCGGACCGACCGGCTTTTATTATGAAGCCAACTAGAAGAAGTAGCTGTGGCTAACGCCAGTGGTAGTTGGGTGCCTCTGTGGCTAGCTGCGTCGTGTTGCCTGTCGTTTTTTTTTTTTTAACTTCTGACTTGCAGAAATATTGCCCATCTATTTATAAATCCCCGACGTGTGACCGATGGTCGACTTGGTGAGTATTTTTCTGCAATGTTTTTAACTTGAATCGATGGTCGCCTGGAAAAAAGGCCCATCGTGATTAGTGTTTTCTGGCATCAGATGATTTCATACACGCAATCAAATTCCTGGCTGGTCAGCTGGATGCGATTCAGCATTAAAACCACAAGTTTCTAATCACTTTGCCACCTCCCGAAGCTAGGAGACCGTGATATGGATCGATATGTTCGGATGAAACGTTTATTGTTTTTATAAAACAAAAAAAATCTAATACTCTAGTTGTTACAGTTAGGTGGAAAAATAAGATGTCGGAAATCTGATCGGGGTTATTTGAGGGGGGGTAAGAGAACATGAGCAAAAGGTGGCTTCCTCTTTGAGAGGCTGCAGGTAATTTTTTAAATATGATTTCTTCTCTGGAATTTCCATCATCATCGTTGGAAATGTAGCACTGGGGGATCATAGGCTTTAGGGTGTGTGGCTGAACAGTGCCAGGCAGCTCCTGTGGTCTGCTAGGGAACTGCTTGGCCCTGGCCTGTATGGGTCTGGATCATAGCCTTATGCCCCACTCCACTGTATTATCTAACCTACAGTAGCTCCTTTCATAAAACACCCAGCCAGACGAAGACCTCTGACCGTCCTGGCCTGCTTGGCTGGATGAAGCTCAAATGGGAACTGCCTCATGGTGACTAGTTGTGCTGTCATTATTAGTTAATAATTAGTAATAAAGGCCTGCTTGGGATAAAAACTATGCTGGGGTTGCCTCATCTTCTGCATTAGACTGGATGTAAATCAGACGAGGACAATGTTTCTCGTGTTTTCCTGTGATTATGTGAACTTTTTGTGGGACAAACCCCACCCACATGGCACTTTTGTGTTGTGTGCTGACCCAAAGTATGTGAGGTATGAAAGTAATGTATTTAGTTTGAGGTAGTCTCTTTTGTATTTTTTTTTTAGATGTTTTTAGAAGTATAAATCTCAAGGTCACAAGCTTAACTTACTAACAGTATGTCACTCAAGCTCTTGTCTTTTTTGCATAACCACAGGGCAGTTGAGGCCTTGTCCTCAGAACGCCTTTACTCAAAGTTTCTGGAAATTAAAACAGATTTCAAGGCTTTATTCTCCAATACAGCTTAATTTGGGCTTGGCTAATTTGGAAAGCATCCAGCAGCTGTTATAATAACTGCATTACACAGACTTTATTCGTTTCAAAACCTAGAAACATGCACATGTCCCACTAGCCATATTTTAGTCATAACCTCATGACAGTGGCAGGCAGCATAAAAGGTGAAATATCTAAGAGAAGGAAACTATCGAGCATTGTAATATTACTGACACTGCATTTACAATTATACCAAATAAACTGCTTATAAGAAACTTTAAGAAATCATTAAATAAGGTATAAAAGTACTGACAAATGCAAGTACCTTTTACAGTTTTTTATCTTAAATGTAGCCTGCCAATTTCTTTTCAAGTAAAATGTTATAGATATAGGTTTTCATGTGTCACAGCAGGAGTCGATGACCACAGTAATGCTGTGCCTCTTAATATAAATGAATTGGGCTCATGTGTGTGTTTGCGCACAGCAGGGAGCTCGGTTACAGTCAAAACAGTAGATGACACACTTCATCACGGTACAAAGCTTTACTTTGAATCCCAGATAGTTAACATTTGATAAATAAAACTGAATTTCCTTGTAGGTAGGCACCAAAATATGCTTTGTAAATCCGATCTATTTCCCATTACTCTTGTTTTAGACATAAATGTCAGAGTTGTTCTCTCTAAAATAGCTTCTTAAACCTTCGCTAGTAAAGATGGGATTCACCAGACATCCCACAATATCATATTATCACAATACTATATTCATGTTATATTAATTAACATAGTGCAATACTCTGCACTGCACAAACATATATTATTATTTATCACCTTTTTTCCAAGTGCAAACTATGTCCTCAAAGTTATTGTTCTATCCAAAGATAAAGTTATCTCACTTCAATTATTCATGTTTTGTATTTGCTCCAAATGAAATTGTCAAGCATACCAACACTGTAACCAAAACCTACCATAAATGTTACATATGGAATGGGGTCACCGCAATCGGTTTGTGATAATACAGCAATTTCCAGGTATAAATCATCGAAAATCACGTAGTGTTGCTGTCCATCTAGACAAAAAAAAATCACATTTAACTATTAACTTTGTGCTAAGCAACCTTCCTCTTCTATAAGAGTCAAGTTCCCTCGAATTGTGACTCAGACCGATGACAACATGATGACTTTGTCTACATTTATAGATAGCATAGGAATGATTTGCAAACCTTTGACAATGTCTCTGAGAGTGGTTGCAGCCAGTCCAAGTCAGACTGCAACTGTTTGCAGAAAGATTTCCTCCTCTTAGGCGAGATGGAGAGACCTGCAAGTCCAACATGTAGATTCATCACTGGTTAGGGATCCTTCTTGATCTAAACAAACACTTATTGTCTGTCTGCTGACACTTAACAGCGAATTAAAGGTAAGTACCTTACCTAGTTACCTTCATAAAATGTCAGCCTGCTGCGGACAGTGGATGATGCCGCATGTAGTAGACATGTTTCACTGGATAAACAGAGAAGGGCTTAGGTCCAAAGGTGGAGGATGCCGTGACACGCCTGAGGCCTTTTGTTTACAAAGCAGGCTTTGGGGTTAACAGTGTTTTAAGAGTTACAAAAGTGATTAATTGCTTAACGGTGTAGATCACCATGGTAACATATACTGCGGCCGTAACCAGCTCCGAAGCAGGCTAAGTTTGAGATTAGAGATTAACAGGTTTTAATTCACCAGCTACTGATAAGTTAGTTCTCCAGAAAACAGAATTATTCCTGGAAATCCCTTGGACATCTGTGTGTGAATAATAAGAGGTTCTAAGGTGTCTTAAGGTTTTTTCTTTTCCTGATGAGCATTAATAATAAATATAGATTCTTAAAGAAACCTATTTCCTGGTTTTTCCTTTTGGCTAAAAACCCTTTTTATAACAATTTTATTGTTCTATATACCATGTATATGATCGTAAATCACATGTTTATACTTGTTGAACTTATATCAAATTTGCACATAGACCAAGCCTGTGTCTAAATTCTGGGCCTGTGGCTGTTGTATTTAAAAATTAACCTCCCCTAATGACAACCTGTTTGTCAGCTTTACATCCTGATTTCTAATAGGCTAAACTTCATTAATATACTAGATTTTTTTTCCAGTCTTCCTGGCCAAAGTGGTTAAAGTACTTTGACATTCATACTTTTCCTCACACACGTACCCAAACACGTAGTGGACTCGCCTTCGGCTGTGTTACTTTCAGCCTGTATTTTGTGTTTTAACATCTTTATATTTATTCTAATACGATAGTTTTATCTAACTTTATAAAATCAGGCACACTGCTGCCAGCAAACCCGTCAATGTTTGATAAATCAAATGCTCCCAACACTGACTCTTTCACATGAACACGCTCACAGCTATGTTGTGAAACCCTGGTTTAACTTATCGAGACGATAACCCCCTTTGTGGGACTGAGTCTCCAAGTGGACTTTTTAATCAGATTGTGTTAAACAATCTTGGAGAATGTGAG